CAGTGGCGACGAGGAAGGGGGGAAGCAGCCGATAGCCGCTGGACAACGGAGAGGATGCGGCGACAAGGAATGGGGAGATGCAGCCGATAGCCGCAGGACTTGAAAGCGGCACAAGAAGCGGGGGAGTGCGGCCGAAAGCCGCAGAACGATAGTCCGAAGTGGGAACGCACCAGGGGGAGGACAAGCCACGCCTCTGGGGAGTCCCCAGGGTATACGGGTGCGGCTAGCCTTCCATGAATGGGGTCACACGTTGTCCAAGGGAACCCAAGGCCGCGCGCCTCGGGGGCTCTGGGCTGAGTCGGCCCTGCCCTGGGCAGGGGGCCCCTGTCAGGCCAGTTGCCGGGCTACCAGCGTGGGAGTTCCCTTCCTCGCTGTCGCTTGTCGGCGCATTGCTCGTCACTTTTCGGGCCATTCCTCTTCTCCCTGCTCCCCAACTCAGCGCCTCTCCATGAACTTTCCTGGCGGCCCCACTCTTCCCAGCGCGGCCTTGGGCGCCATGGGGCTCCTGAGCTGGATGCTCCCGACCAGGTGGTCTCCCTGTAGTCGGTGTACGCTGGCGGGGCAGCTGTGTCAGCTCTGGGTTTGCTCCACGGGTGTTGGTGCTCAGTCCCGATGTGTGTGCTGGACGACGGGGCCTCCTCGCAGTGGCTTGTCGTGTCGGGTCGGGCTGGAGGGGTGGGTACTGTCCTGCTGCTGGCGGCCCAAGGGTATGGGCGGCCCTCGCTATCTTGCCCCTTGGGTGTGCTGGTCCTCGCGCTGCGCTGTAGTAGGCTACGATACTTATCAGTGACCTTTTGCCATTCCACTCGGAGCTGGATGGTCCCTTACCATCTTGTAGGCGTCGTAGCCCGCTGCTTCCCACGCCCGCAGAAATTCTTTGCAAAGCTCCGGTGTGTTCCCCTTGGGGTCCGAATGGATGCGGACCCAAGGCAGACCTTGCAGGCTGCCTGCCCTGCGGACCCAAGCTGTCCACGCCCCGTTGAATGCGCCTCCGAGCGTCTTCTGCAGTCTGATGACCTTCTCTTGGGCTGGCTCGTCTCTCTGGATGTCGGCCTCGTCGATGGACCTCATGTACAGGCTACGAAACACACGCGACGGCAAATATTGATCATGCGCGGGCGCCCCGAGACCACTTTGCAACGTTGCCCGTCGGTCGGGAGAAGTAGGTAGAAACACGAAGTAGAAAAACGTCGGAAGTAGACTGGGTCTGCGCCCACCTCCTCCTCCTCCTCCTCCTCCTCCTCCTCCTCCTCCTCCTCCTCCTCCTCCTGCTCACCTCCTCCTCCTCCTCCCCTCCCCCTCCTCCTCCTCCTCCTCCTCCTCCTCCTCCTCCTCCTCCTCCTCCTTCTCCTCCTCCTCCTTCTCCTCCTCCTCCTCCTCCTGAGGAGGAGGGAGGAGGGACAACCACTCGACCCCTGAAGCAGGAAGGCGCGAGAAGCAGATTGGGCTCTGGGGGTCCAGGAATACCTGCAGTGGACACTAGTCCACAAGAAACCTTCCACGAGAAACCCAACCCTTGGAGGCCTGAAAATGGGCACCAACACCAACATAGGGGGTTGCCTCCACAGGGGGAAGATGATCCCAGCTTTCGGTGTTGGTGGTAGTACTTCGGCCACCCTGGAAGCGAGAATATTACCACCATCACCGATATTGGGAGCTTCTTCCCTCGGTGGAGGCACACCGCAGAAATTGGTGTTGGTGTCAACCTCTGGGCCTGCAAAACCCTGAGACCCCAGGGCGTCCATTGACACTTTGGCGTGGGAAAGTCGCGCTCTCCCGCGCGAACCCCAGGGCGCCCTGGAGGCAAGCAGGGTGCTTCTTGGCGTTTGTTTCCACTGTACCTTCAACCGCCGACGTGCACTTGACAGGGGCGACCTGGGTGCCCTGGCGCGCGCGGCACCCCCCGCGAGCGTCGCGCACCTCTGGCTGGCGCCCGCGCTCGCTCCCGGGGCCTCGAGGGCAGCCGCTGCCGGTGCTGAGACTCGGGCGCTGCTAGTGTACAGTCATCGGCCTGACCTAAGGAACCATGAATAAGGAACGAAGCCCCTCATTTTTCCAAGGAGTAACGCAGAAGGAACGATATATAAGAAATAACCGATTGAGGAATGATGAATAATGCATGCAAGCCTAAGGAACGACCGAGCCCCTTTTGAAAAGGAAGTGTTCCTTATTCAAGCCGCTCACTGCAAGGTGGGAGGGCGCTCCACCTCCTCCACCTTTTCCTCCTCTCGGGGGCGCGCCAACATGGACTGGCGATCCATGGATTTGGCGCGCGGTCGCCAAATCCATGGATCGGGGGAGGTGCCCTCCCCAGAACGCGGCTGGTGCCGCCTCTTCCGGCGGCGGAAATCCGCGATTTCCCATGGAAACGGGACCCGTCGCTAATCCACGCCCCCTCAATCCATGTTTGCGATCGCCTGATCCTCCTCCTCCTCCTCCTCCTCCTCCTCCCTCCTCCTCCTCCTCCTCCTCCTCCTCCTCCTCCTCCTCCTCCTCCTCCTCCTCCTCCTCCTCCTCCTCCTCCTCCTCCTCCCTCCTCCTCCTCCTCCTCCTCCTCCGATGGGAGTGTTGTCCTCCCCCTCTCCTCTCTCCTCGCCTCCTCCTCCTCCTCCTCCCCCTCCTACTCCTCCTCCTCCCTCCTACTCTACTACTCTCCTACTCCTACTCCTCCTCCTCCTCCTCCTCCTCCTCCTCCTCCTCCTCCCCGGTGGGAGTGAGCGAGACGGCCATCCTGCGGGGGGGGGGGGGGAGCTTGACGCATTCCCTCACACCCCCTCCCAGGGGTCCCGACGAGGGGCGCCGGAGCGGTCAGAGCGCCCAAGATGGTCCAAGATGGCTCTAAGACGGTCTCCGATGCCTCCAGATGGTCTCCAGAATGGCTCAAAATAGCCGAAGATGGTTCAGAATAGCTTCCGACATGCGTCCAAGAGGCTCAAGAGAGCCACGAGACGGCCCCAAGTGCGCTCGGAGCTCTCCAAGCACCCTTCTAAGAAGCTAAATGTGTGCTCCTTCCCCATCTTTTCGCTCAGAGCATGGTCCCAAGCGCGCCCCAAGAGGGTCCCAAGAGGCGGCTCTGTGGCCTTCAAGGGGGGCTACAATCGCCCCCCCACCCTCCTCTGATGGATCCTCTACAACGTCCCCTGCCCAGTGCTGACGTGCACGCACTACCTTCTCGTACTCTTGTGTTCTCCAACTCCGCATCCCTCCCTCCCTGCTTCCTGCGCGCCCGCCCCCCATCGCTGCCTCCCTCGAGCTCTCCCCCCCTCCATCGAGCCCGGGGGGGTCACCTGCTGCTGCCTCGCGCTCAGCCGCTGCCCGGTGCTTCTCCGCTTGCCGCCTGCCGAAAGGGAAATGGAGAGCAGCGAGCACATAGGAAGGCGCGCCGAGTTCGAATTCGGGGAGGGCAAGGACGACGGCGACGAACAGGAGGGAAACCTGTTCGTTGACTCCCTACGCTGTTTTAACTACTGCGACTGTCGTTGCCGACACTTGAAATATTGTGCACGTCGCTAGCTAGCACTGCAGCTACAGCTGCTGTCGATGGCACTGCTGCTTCCAGTGCCGCAGCATATCGTGATATGTCACTACCTGTACGACGACGACCACGACGACGACGACGACGACGACGACGACGACAAACGACGACTACTACTACATTTACTACTTTAACATTTACTACTTTTACTACTACTACTACTACTACTACTACTGCTGCTGCTGCTGCTGCTGCTGCTGCTGCTGCTACTACTACTTCTACTATTCCTACTACTACTACTACTACTACTACTACTACTACTACTACTACTACTACTACACCTACTACTACTACTACTACTACTACTACTACTACTACTACTACTACACTACTACTACTACTACTACTACTA